TGCCTAGCTTATAGCCCGTGTTCAGTACATGTTGGTTTCCCTTCCCTTCCTCTTTTCTCATAATTTTTTAAACCAGCCTTTTCACTTCTCCTTCCCCTCCTAATCCATCCAGACCATTACCATTGAATCTTCTCACAGCCTCGCTCGTTCATTAAATCAGTACCTAACACACATGAACTGGGTGTTCATCGTGTGAATCCATCCCATATTGAAAGAGCCCCCCTTTCTCTGATGGGGTAGCTGAGTCAGGACACAAGGTCGGCCTTGCGAGCTACCGTCTTGTATCGGGGTTTTGGTCATCGCCTGCTGAGAGAGCCTTCCATCTCTCCACTGCCTTGGCTGCCCCGCTCAGTGGAAGGTCCGTCTCCTGACGGGCACCAAAGACCCTCCTCGATGTGGCCTTAACCAGCTTCCCCTCAGTGTTCCCTCTGTGTCGGACAACCTGAACTCCTCTGTCTCGGAATTCTCCCGGCTCCTGGCTTCTCCCGCCCTGTTTGCCTGACCCTCTGCTTGGAATGTCCTCTCCCCTTCTCTCCGCCCACAGCCTACCTGCCACTGCACCCTCTCTGGGAGGCCTCCAGCAGCCCGGCTGACGGAAGTGCTTTCCTTCTCCCAGCCCGTCTAACTTCCTTCTTACATTTCTTAGGAGACTTATGTGTTCTAGGCAGGCTTGTGGCTATTTCAGCGCCTTGGTCCTCTTAACTAGACTGATCCCCTCCTGGGAAAATGCACTTTCCTCCCATCCTCAGTAGATCATATGAGGGCCTCACGTGTGCAGTTCCTCTGTGATGTGTTTGTCCATGGATACATGAAAAAAGTTGTGTTTTTTTTCTTTATTTTTTTTTTTGAGACAGAATCTCACTCTGTTGTTCGGGCTAGAGTGCCGTGGCATCATCATAGCTCACAGCAACCTCAAACTCCTCTGCTCAAGTGATCCTCCTGCCTCAGCCTCCCCAGTAGCTGAGACAACAGGTGTGTGCTACCATGCCTGGCTAATTTTTCTATTTTTTGTAGAGATGAGGTCTTGCTGAATGGCTCAGGCTGGTCTTGAACTCCTGGCCTTAAGCAATCCTCCTGCCTCAGCCTCCCAAATTGCTAGAATTACAGGCACGAGCCACCACACTTGGCCTGAAAAAAGTTTTCACTCATTAGGTTGAGCTTATTCATCAGGATCTTGGTTTGACAGAATGGGTTTTGCCTATAATTTTTTAATAACTGTGGAAGCAAAGTGAGACAAGTTCCTCGAGCGCACTGGAGACAGCACTTTATGTCATCCTAGTATCCTCCCTGAGCACCTGTGGGGGCAGGGGGAGGAGCCCTGCCCCTAGATCTACTCTAAGTGATGACGGTTTTTGCTACATCTCCTTTCCTCTTGTCTTCCTTTTCTCCCATGGGAGATAAAGAGTCTCTTGCTTCTCCAAAGATTAAAGCATCAGATGAAGCGACAAGTGGCTCTCCTGTTACCCCTAAGTGGGCACTGATTCTAGGCGTGTGGGGATGGATAGCAGATGGTGAAAGTATTATATTGTAGGTCTAATATCATAACGATCTTATGTCCTGGAGACCCAGTTTTAGACATTCTATTCCACGGTCAGACCCCAGGCCTAACTCTAGGTTTGGGAACTAATCCCTAAGAATGCTCATAATGCATAAAGCTACTTCTCTGTGTGGGAAGAGGATGGTCCTCCTGAAACATGTCCACTGCTCGTCTGCTTTAGGCCTGAAACTGCGTGGGAGGGCCAAGAGAGGCTGGGCAGAGCTGGAATCTGTCCCTTGGTCTTTGCTGGTACAGGAACAGCATACCCAGGGCCCCTCCCAAGGCAGGGAAGAGAGGCAGCAGGCTGGGGGGCGCTGAGTGAGAAGACTGGGACACCTCGTTGCCCCTCCCACAACCCTCCATGCTGCTTTGGGCTGATTTGCCATGTATGTGTTGTGCCTCTCCTCCTTTCCTCAACCCAGGAACCTGCTATTTCGCCTTTAAGAGAAATCCTAACCCTAACCCTGAACTAGTCATTTCTTCTTTCCTAATTCCAATGGCCTTGTTAGACTTTGCTTTCCCCCGACGTGTTCCCGTGTTCCCACCTACCTGTGCTATAGCACTTATCACACGACAGTAAAATTGGTATGAACATTTTTGTCTTCCTACCTGGACTGTGAGTCCTTGGGTCCAGAGCCATGTTTTATGCTTTTTTTTTTTTTTTTTTT